CCAGCGCAAATAATCCTTTCATTATCTTTCCACAATGTCCCGGTCACTGCTTTGATTGCCTGTCTAGTCTACATTCTGCATCATGAAATTTACCTGGCCAGCCTATGCAAATGTCTAGGAAATTGGCACAATGTACACCTAGTCTTGTTGGGAGTCATGTGTTCCATCTATCACTCCTGCTTAGTCTGGAAATCCCACTATCCCAAATCCCTCAATCTATGACACATTGGCCATCCAGTTCACAAATCCCTGCAGCACAGTACATATTACTATGACAACAGCACCGACTACGGAAGTCCAGCCTTGAACTGTGTGAATGTGGGGCTGTCATGTTATATGGAATCACAGTCCTTCTAGAACAAGAAGCAAAACTTAAACTGAATGAGCACGGGCAGTGTGGAGACATAATACGGTCGGAGACATAATACTGTCGCTCCTAAAGCTGGTATTATTCCACCTGTTCAATTACCTATGGTTTAGGCTACAATTTTGAAAAGAGTCTAAAGGAGGTAAACACTCAAATCCGTTAGGCCCTTTTCAAAATCCTAGCCATAATTCTCTAGTATTCATAGACAATATAAAGAAAAGGGAAGTTCATGCAGAAGTCATACACAATATTTATTAAGCATATATCAGAAGTCTATTAATAATAACATCTAGCTCTTATGTAGCATTTTTCTTTTGCAGATCTCAAGCACTTTACAAAAGAGGTCAATATCATCATCTCTATTTTAAGGATGGGGAAAGTGAGACAGCAGGAGGTGAAGTGACTTGCCTAAGGTACACCCAAGTACCAAAGATTTCATAACAGCTTCAAAGACTGATGTCAGAAACTTGCAGGTGACTGGTTAGTGTAACATGCAAGTGGGCATCTCACCACAGTTGAATGTAGAGATAAGCACATACTGATTGCTTTCCCCAAATAATTTCTGAAATCAGTGGGTACTGTAGGTGCTCTGCATCTCTGACAATCAAATCACATTTATATGTGACCAAATATCTATTTAGATTTCTAACCTTATTTCCCTAAATTAAAACATTTTTGGACTTTAAGATTTAAAATTAAGCCTTCATTGTAAAATGAGAGCTTGTGTTTAAACCAGAGCAAGGTAATGCCCTGCTTGCCTCAGGTTGCCAACAATTTCTGCAAGCAAGCTGAGACAGTGTTCTGTCATCCATAAACACTAAATTGAATATGGCACAATGGCAAAAATCTATTTGGCTACATTCTAAGCAGACAGGCCAACACAAGTTATAAATTCTGTGAACTTCTGGCAGCCCTTTGCACTTCACAGGTTTTATAAGTTCAGGCCCTATGTCATATCTTCGATTCACAACTGCTAAAAAAATACTGAGCCATAGAATATCAAGGTTGGAAGGGACTGCAGGAGGTCATCTAGTCCAACCCCCTGCTCAAAGCAGGACCAATCCCCAACTAAATCATCCCAGCCAGGGCTTTGTCAAGCCTGACCTTAAAAATATCTAAGGAAGGAGATTCCACCACCTCCCTAGGTAACGCATTCCAGTGTTTCACCACCCTCCTAGTGAAAAAGTTTTTCCTAATATCCAACCTAAACCTCCCCCACTGCAACTTGAGACCATTACTCCTTGTTCTGTCATCAGCTACCACTGAGAACAGTCTAGAGCCATCCTCTTTGGAACCCCCTTTCAGGTAGTTGAAAGCAGCTATCAAATCCCCCCTCATTCTTCTCTTCCGCAGACTAAACAATCCCAGTTCCCTCAGCCTCTCCTCACAAGTCATGTGTTCCAGTCCCCTAATCATTTTTGTTGCCCTCCGCTGGACTCTTTCCAATTTTTCCACATCCTTCTTGTAGTGTGGGGCCCAAAACTGGACACAATACTCCAGATGAGGCCTCACCAATGTTGAATAGAGGGGAACGATCACGTCCCTCGATCTGCTGGCAATGCCCCTACTTATACATCCCAAAATGCCATTGGCCTTCTTGGCAATAAGGGCACACTGTTGACTCATATCCAGCTTCTCGTCCACTGTAACCCCTAGGTCCTTTTCTGCAGAACTGCTGCCGAGCCATTCAGACCCTAGTCTGTAGCGGTGCATGGGATTCTTCCATCCTAAGTGCAGGACTCTGCACTTGTCCTTGTTGAACCTCATCAGATTCCTTTTGGCCCAATCCTCCAATTTGTCTAGGTCCCTCTGTATCCTATCCCTACCCTCCAGCCTATCTACCTCTCCTCCCAGTTTAGTGTCATCTGCAAACTTGCTGAGGATGCAATCCACACCATCCTCCAGATCATTTATGAAGATATTGAACAAAACCAGCCCCAGGACCAACCCTTGGGGCACTCCACTTGATACCGGCTGCCAACTAGACATGGAGCCATTAATCACTACCCGTTGAGCCCGACAATCTAGCCAGCTTTCTATCCACCTTATAGTCCATTCATCCAGCCCATACTTCTTTAACTTGCTGGCAAGAATACTGTGTCAAAAGCTTTGCTAAAGTCAAGGAACAACACATCCACCGCTTTCCCCTCATCCACAGAGCGAGTTATCTCGTCATAAACATTGAGTCTCATTAATGTCACTATTTCCTGGCCAGTTGGTATTTTTACAGTGGATTTTTTTTTTAACGTAGGTTATAAATGCCTCAGGGAACAGACTTTTTTTATTTTTTCTGTGCTAGGATTATCTAGGCCCTGATCCTTATGCATATGCTTAATTATTTTGTGAGTAGTCCAACTACTCAGGGTAGTAAAGTGACGTATGTGCATAAATGTTTGCAGTATTGGCATACTATTGTGCTAGTGATTGGCATACTATTGTGCTATGATAAAAATGATAGTTTATATTATTTTCTTTGGTGGTTTGATTTGAAGGGGAAGATGGCATTCTGCCAATGTGTGGGGATCTTTATTTTGTAATTGTTTGGGTAACTGGCTGCTGAATACACCAATCCCACTGCTTCTTTAGTCCTGCCCATTTTTAAAAAGGATGGGTGAACAAAATCATCTTCAGCAAGAAAACAATGTATCATTCCAGTGACACTCTGTATCTCAAAATACCACCCTGGAACCCGAATATTCACCACTGTGATATGGTTATGATATGTTTTATACAAAGTATGCCTAGTGAGATATCATTTGAGAAGTCATGATCTGTTGAACATTACTATCCTGTTGTGTTACCATTCTATGTGAAGTTATGAAGTTTTGCTATATGTGTGTTGCTGAAATGTTGTGATTCTGGGGTATGCCCAGAGCTGGCCTTTCAGGGGCAACAAAGGAGCAACTAAGCAACTAACCCCCCCAAGACAGATTTACATTAGGACTAGCCAACCATGGGTTGATGGCCCATTAGGTAGAATCCACTCTCCCAAGGGACCCCTCCAAAAGACATGAACAATGGAGGCCCAGAGTCTCAGCAGGGCACATACAACATATGACACCTGACTATGTTTAAGACAGTATTTTTCCATGCACATGGATAAGGCAGTATAAATTGGAGTCTGTGATATCAGCCCAGGGCCTCTCTCCTCTCCCACATACTCCAAAGACAAGAATGCTTGGAAAAAAAGACCTTGCAGTGGAGAGACGGGGCACAGGCTGAGCAAGGAATTCAGCCAGTGTATTAAGAACTGTGAACTACTTACAACACGTAGCAGGGTGAGAAACTGCTTGATTCAAATCTTATTTAGTCTGAAGATGTAGAGTTTAGACTGCTATTTTTTTATTTATGTAATCATCTTTGACCTCTATGCCTACCACTTATAATCACTTAAAATCTATCTGTAGTTAATAAACTTATTTGAATGTTTTATCCTTACAAGTGAGTTTGTCTAAAGTGCTTGAGGAATCCACTCAGATTACAAAAGCCAATGTATGGCCACTATCCTTTCACGAAGTAGTGAACTAATTAATGAACTTGCATTGTTCAAGAGAAGGTCTTGATCAGTGTAAGATAGTACATTTCTGGGGTGCAAGGCTGGGGAGATTTGCTGGTGTCTCCTTCTGAATAGTTCACAAGTGGCTTGTCATGCATTCATACAATTTAGCTGGGTGTGTCCCTGCATGTTGTTGGCTGAGGGATCACAGCACCTGGAGAGTTTTGCTGCTTGTCACTAGCACAGCATTGTAAGAGACAGCCTCAATTGGAGAGTTAAGGCAGCACAGCAGTCCCAGGTTGTACCATCTGTCACAGTTCCCCACTGCCATTTTCTCTTGCTCCTTCAAAAAGGAGTCCAGCCAGCTCCTCCATCTGTTTTGAAGGACACACCCAAAGTGCAATCTGTACCCCATTTATGGCCCATGGTACTTTAAAACGCAGCCTGTTCCTATCTTCATTAAGAGCGATGTACTACAGGGAGATCACGTGTCCCAACATGCTGCATCCAGATGGAGCATAACACGCTGGGACTCCGGCCTCCACAGGCTGCACTGTAGTTAGCTGTTTCCCAACCAGGCAGCACCAGACACATCCCGGATGACCGCGGAGAGCACCGGGAGCAGGTAGAACTGCATTACCACAGACCCAGCACTTCCAAAGGGCTCGCGCGGTGGTGGTAACGGTGGGACACCATGGCAGGGGCCACAGAGGAACAGAGTCTAAGGCCAGAACTTGGGACCACCAGATCACCCAGGGGCCTCCGGGGTATCACGGGCCGCCAACACCACGGCTCCACCCACCGCCCGCGTCCATCCCAGCGACTGCGCTCCCGCGCGAGGGGCCCCGCACAGGCGCGGAGGCCTCGAGTTCCCGCCCGCGAGAGGGAGACCGCGCGCACAGGTCGGCAGGGAAAAGCGGAAGGAAGCAGCCTCGTCGCGGTCCTTTACCTACGTCATGACATCACTGCGCGGCGGCGGAAGGGGAGGGAACATCAACGGCTCCGGGGCGGGGCCTCCGTCGCCGGAATGGGGCGGTAACAATAGCCGCACGAGAGACGCCTTTTTCCCCCTCCCCCTCTGCGCGCGGAGGTAGGAGGCTCCACCCCCGCTCCGCTCCGTGCGGCGCTCGTGCTGCAGTGAGTGAGGGGCGGCAGGGAGGAGGCGCGCGCGCGCGGAGGTGGGGCGGCCGGCCGGCCGGCGGGGGAAAGATGTTTGAGACTCTGCGCGAGCGGCTGCTGAGCGTGCAGCAGGACCTCACCTCGGGGTGAGTCGCGCCGGCCTGGCCCCTCCCCTCCGCGCGCGGAGCCCCGGAGGGAGAAAGTTCTTCCAAGTCCCCGCGGGGGACAACGGTACTCGGGGGCGCGCGTGAGGCCGGGGGGGGGGGGGCGCGTGAGGCCGGGGGGGGGGCGCGTTGCCCCGTCCGGCAGGGTCGCAGCCCCCCCCTCCCCCCCCCGGGCGGTTACAGGCTGAAATCCGGACAGTGGCTCAAAACCGAAAGTTTCAGCCACCGTTAGCCCCATGTCCCGGTCTCTGCCCCACTGCTCCTAGGGGCCCGCCCAGACCCCGGGGGGAGCCAGTGTCCCATGCCCAGGCTGTGACCCGGGGCGGCCGCGGAGCCCCCCCCCCCTCCCCGCGCTGTTGGGGGAGAGGGCGCTGGCTGTGGCTATCCCTGCGGCCAGGGCCGGCTCCAGGCACCCGCTTTCCAAGCAGGTGCGTGGGGCGGCATTGAGAACGGGGGGCGGCCGGCCGTGTCCTCCGGCGGCTGCTTGGCGCGGCGAAATTGGTAGAGCCGCCCCTGCCTTGCGGCACCGGTTGCAGCCTCGGGAAACTTCCGGGCAGCTGCGGAGGCTCCGGCTGGGAACCGCTGCTCTCGGAAAAGGCCGCTTCCTGGAGAGCGGTAGGGCCCAAGGGAAGGGGCCCCAGCGCCCCTAGTTCCGGGCTGTGCCTCCCCGGCACCGCCCCAAGGCGCTGATGCAGACCTGTCACCTGGGGCGCCCCCGGCCCTTCATAACCCCCGACCGCCGCCCACGGGCACGGGGCTTGCAACGCTAATAGCCTGAAACGGGAGGCGGTGAGAAGTGGTTGGAGGCGCCGGGGGAGCGGGCGCGGGGTAACTCTGGCGTTTGGTCGTGTTCACGTTGTAGGGAGTGGGGGAAACGGGAATGGAGACGTGTTGGCGTGTGGTAAACATGGTTTGAAAGAACTGGCCAGCAAAACTTCCTGGACCAAAGTAGCGATTTGATTGGCGGCCCTGGAGTTTACACACCTCGCTAAAAGCTCGTTAGCGTCGCTGCCTGTAGAAGGGGTAACTGTCATGTGAGGGGAGGAGGCGGGAAGGAAGGAATGGCTCCACCCATACTTTAGGAGTGGGAAGGGAAAACCAAAAGTAGAAATCTGAGCTTCAGTTTAATTTGCCCCACATCCTTGTATTTACAGGAGAAAGATCCCATTTACCAAAAGATAATGTTCCCCCACCCACTTTCTAGAACTTTATTATTTGCAGTGGTTTCTGACTTATGGCTGCTTCCTGTGGACTTGTCCAGCCACTGAGGGATCTGATAAATAAATCTCATTGAAAGTCAGTGGGATGTAGGAGCCTAAGGCTTGATTTACACTATACAACCTGATGACATAGCTGCACTGAGGTAACACCACATGTAGATGCAGCTATGTCAACAGAAGGGGGCTTCTGTCCTCCGTTGGAGAGGTGGTGTTCCTACACTGAAAAAAAAAGGAAAAAAAGTTCTTCTGCATTTTCACTATGGGGCTATGCCGGCATAGCTCTGGTGGTATGGTCTCTGTAGCATAGGCCATGTCTAAGGTACAAAATTATGTTAACCTAACTTACACTGGCAGACAGCCCCCGCAATTATTAAATTGCTTGTCTATGTGCAGACTTCCCTCCTTGTGTAGGTGCAAAAAGAAAAGGAGTACTTGTGGCACCTTAGAGACTAACCAATTTATTTGAGCATAAGCTTTCGTGAGCTACAGCTCACTTCATTGATGCATCCGATGAAGTGAGCTGTAGCTCACGAAAGCTTATGCTCAAATAAATTGGTTAGTCTCTAAGGTGCCACAAGTATTCCTTTTCTTTTTGCGAATACAGACTAACACGGCTGCTACTCTGAAACTTGTGTAGGTGGTGCATGTACTCACCAGGAGTATTTGTATTGATTGTATTATCAGTGTGGGGCATTGTGGAACAGGTCTTGAAAGCCAGTTATCAGTCGACATAAGCAATGCAGTGTCTACATTGACACTGCATCGGCCTAATTACATTGACCATGACTCTATGATGCTTGGGGAGGTGGAGTTAGTAAATTGGCATACAGAGGCACTTAAGTCAGTGGGAGCCAAATTTAAGTGAGGACAGTTCTATAGCTAGATTGATACAAGGCAGCTTACGTTGCGCTAGCCGTGTAGTGTAGACCAGGCGTAGTCTTACCCTCAGTCTCTTTTGAAAATGGATCCAGGTGTGTTTGAAAAATGTTATCCTTTGTTCTTATACTGACACTTGAATTTAGAGCAGGGGTTCTCAAACTTCGTTGCATCGCGACCCCCTTCTGACAAGGAAAAATTAGTACATGACCCCAGGATGGGGGACTGAAGCCTGAGTCTGCATGAGTCCCACCGCCCAGTGTGTGTGTGGGAGGGAGGGTAAAGCAGAAGCCCAAGGGCTTTGGCCCCAGTAAGTCTAATGCCAGCCCTTGCAACCCTATTAAAATGGGATTGCAACCCTTGAGAACCACTGATTTAGAGGATTATAAATTTGCACCATTGTTGGAGGGTTGAGAAGTCCCTATCTTTTTGGTCTGTAGGTATTGCTTGACTTGCAGTTGAAGCGCCTGAAGGATTTTACTACCAAAAACAATGATGCAGTTGTACTAGTGGTAATGCAATGGTGGGAAATTTCCCAAAGAAGTTTTGTTGACATGGGGGAGTGGGAATTTTCAAACACGCCTAAGACCTTGGCTGCATAAGAAAGTTTTTATGATGTAACTTCTGAAGTATAAATTGATAGAGTTGAACAGGTATAAACTCCCTGCCCTGGTGCAGAAATTTTTATCCTGATATAAGATCCTCTGTGGAAACTCTTATACCAGAATAAATGGGTTTCTTTGGTTTTACATATGTTGCTTGGGAAGGGTTTAAGCTAAACCAAAAAATAGTCACACTTAGTCCTATAAGAGTTTCCACACAGGGTTTTATACCTGTATAACTGATAAAACATTCCTGTGTAGACAAGATGCAAGTGATTCAGGAGCGGAAGTCACTATGTAGATGCGTACATGGGGCTTGTACTCCTAAATCATATTAGGTACATTTGAAAATCCAATATGCAGCTGTCTGTACAGTACTGTGTGAGAGAAGAAAGGTGGAATACAGTTCATGGAAAAATCACTTAATGTAATAGTCTTGAAAAATACAATAAATGGGGAAACGGCTCTCGCTTCCAAATAAACTAAAGCAAAATTGACATTTATAATCCTTAAAATGCACCCTTGGCACCTATTGTGTCAAGCTTTTTTTCTATTGTGGTAGTTAGCAAAGGCCTGATGCTTTTGTTTTGAATTCTAGGTTGAAGACTTTGGGTGACAAATCAAGAGAAGCAAAAATAAGCAAGCAGAGGTACTTCTGTATGCTCAAATATACAGTTTTGTCTTATGTCTTTATTTATGAAAACATTGTTTAAACATAGCTAATATACTTTGGCAAAACTATTTACATGTTATTTTACATAACACTGAAATTTTGATGAAGAATATGCTGCTCTATTGATCGGAGTACCTGAAACTTATGGTTTAATAGAACACTTTAGTTCCCACTTTTTAAAATTAGCCGTTTTTTGGTGCTCAGCACTCAGTTTAAAGTTTGATGTTTGCTGTAACTAAAGTATATTGTCCTTTATAATATAGTAAATTAAACAGTATCACTGCCCAAAACATTTATATGACACTTGAATTTATTATCTTTCTCCATGTGACTCTTAAGTACACCTCTACCCCGATATAACGCGACCTGACATAACATGAATTTGGATATAACGCAGTAAAGCAGTGCTCCGGAGGGCAGGAGGGGGAGCTGCACACTCCGGTGGATCAAAGCAAGTTCGATATAATGCGGTTTCACCTATAACGCAGTCAGATTTGTTGGCTCCCGAGGACAGCGTTATAGCTGGGTAGAGGTGTACTACAATCTTTCTTCCTATGTTATGAGGTATTTTTTAAGTATAAGAACAGAAATAAGAGCCTTTCTTTGCTTAAAAAATATCGGTGATAAAGGGATGGTAACTTCAGAAGAGAAATCTTAAATCATTCTGCAGCATAGCTGAAAATGGCATTGGTTATAATGTTTCTGAAGTCAGCATTGTAAAATGTCGTTCTGTTTTCAACATGAATAAATGTCATCTTTGTACAATATTCAACTGTAGAAAAGTACAGTTTTGCTATAGGTTTCAGAGTAGCAGCTGTGTTAGTCTGTATCCGCAAAAAGAACAAGAGTACTTGTGGCACCTTAGAGACTAATAAATTTGTTAATCTCTAAGGTGCCACAAGTACTCTTGTTAATTTTGCTATAGTTATATACAATGTCTCAAATATGATTTGCTGTGAAGCATTGTATATGTGCTTTCATCCAGAAAGTGGTGTTACAGACATTTATTTCCTTTTTAAAATAACAGAAAAACCCAAACAAAAAATCCAGAGCAATTTTAAATAAATTAAACTGATCACTACATTTTTGCAATTCAGAAGTTGTTAACTTTTGGAAGATCAGTCTTTTATAACTAAAAAGTTGCAATTGCCCATAATGTAGGCCAAGGCTAAAATATTTTATTGAGAGAAGGCTGAATTAGTAATTTTAGGAAACTCCCTGCTGTGCATATGTATTGCTCATAGGTGCTGTAGTAATACAAATAAATAATGTTTTAATGCAGGTGGCATATTGAAGTAATGCCATTGATTCTGTAGGCTCTGTTGTTGATATGTTAACATGAACTCTGTACAGCGAAAGTTCATGAAGACTAGGGTCTGAATCCTCCATCCTGTTTGTGCTGCTCCTGTGTGTCAAAGGTTGGGGGGGGACAGAGAACTGCTTTGAAAGGGCAGCTGATGAGTCCCCTTGCATAGCTATATTGCATAAGTTGCCTGAATGGCATAACTGGCTCTCTTTTATTACTTTCTAGTCCTGCTTTGTAGAGTTTGTGTTGCAGTGATACGGAATTATTGGTAGAGTCCTGTGAAATTCCTTTTATTTTTCAGAAATTTCTTATTTTGTTTATCTATTAAAATGTTTTATTTCTTTATTACATTTACATTAATAAATTACCCCAGATAACTATAAATAAAAACAGTGGCCATAAATCCGAGTTTATCTACACCGCATCATTTTACCTAGATGTACCCTGTGCTGAAGCCTCCTGATAACCTCCCCATGTCCATCCTCACTCAATGTCTCAAACCCCATGAGATCTTCCCAACCCCTCCTGCTTCCTTCCCCCGTCCTCTTCCCTGGGGTGCTCTCATTTCCCCTTATATAGTCTCTCTCTCCCATTGAATGTCAAACTCCCTAGTCTCCATTAGCCCCAGACACCCCTCTTCTACTTCCCCTTCCCCACTGAGCTCCAGCTTCCCAATTAGTACCAGGAACCCTTCCCCTATCTCTGCTTATATAGCTCTGCTCCAGGGTGGGTGAGAGGCCCTTGGGAGGTGTGACAGTTAGGTCTTAGTGAGAGACCCTTGAGGGAGGGCAGCAGTTGGGTTCTGTCCCCCTGGGGGTGGGTGGGAAGCCCTGGTGGTGGTGGTGGCAGGGTAGAGTCCTGCCCTGCATCAGCGGGTGGAAGTCCCTTGATGGGAAGTGGGGGCTGGATGGCCGTTGGTAGGGGGTGGCAGGTTCTGCTTCCTGGAAGGCTGGGAGCCGTTGGGTGGAGGGCAGTGAGGTGGGGTAGTGGCTCCTGTCATGATAGGGTGGGCAGGCCAAACTTGCGCAATGCTTTTTTTCCATTTTATTTCCTTTTTTTACATTGATTTTTGTTTTATTTCATGTTGTTTTGCCTTTGTGAAAAACACAGGCCTTTAATTATTGAGATTGTGGAGGTGTGACCGGAGATCCTTGTGTGCTAGTGATTCTTGGCTGACAGAATATGTTAGAGGGCTGTTGCAGCGAGCAATAGGTTAGAGCACTGCTTCCCAAACTTTTTACTAAGGTGACCCACCACCTGCATTTTGTCTTTTTTTGGGGACCTACCATTACCCCTTCGCCACCCCTTGCCATCCTACCCCTCTGTTCCTCCTCTTCTCAGCCCTCCAGCCCCTGCTGTCTTCTCCCTTCCCAGCCCTCCAACACACTGTGCTCTCCCTTTCACTCTTCAGCCTTCTTCTTAGTCCAAGTCCGGTGCTCAGCTTCCCCTAGTTCCCTTATTCTGGCTATCCCAGCCCTGCCCCCTCCTGCAGCCCCAGCTGGCCCCTCTCTTTCTGCTGCTGAGCCTGTGTCACTACGAGGCTGCTCATTGACCACTCGTTGGCTCCGCCCATTTCCTCTGTGCTGCTGCTGCTCAGATTCCACTTCCCACACTGCTTCCTGCTAGATCCTTCCTGTGACATGAGGTCAGGACCCACTTTTTGGGAAACACTGGATTAGTTTCGCCTCTAGCCTCAGACTAGGTGAACACAAAGGTGGCTTTAAACCACATTTGCTTCCTCTCCACTGACCAGGTTCTGAACCAAACATAACTTAGCCTAACCTGTGAGTCTAACTAATGAACAACTGTTGAGTCATATTATTTATATCACATACACCATCATTCAAACAGTTGGTATAATTGCAGTTTCACTCCATTCTGAGGGTCTTTCAGGAGTCTGAAGTGAGGAAAATCTTGGTGTAGTTAGGGCTGTCGATTTAATCGCAGTTAACTCACTTGACTAACTCAAAAAAATTAATAGTGAATAAAAAAATTAATTGTGATTAATCTTAATGATAAATAATAGAATACCAATGGAAATTTATTAACTATTTTTGGATTTTTTCTAAATTTTAAAATATATTGATTTCAATTACAACACAGAATACCAAGAGTATAATGCTCACGTTATTTTTTATTACAAATATTTGCACTGTAAAACGGAGAAAAGAAATAGTATTTTTCAATTCACCTCATACAAGTACTGCAGTGCAATCTCTTTATCATGAAAGTGCAGTTTACAAATGTAGTTTTTTTGTTGCATAACTGCACTCAAAAACAAAACAATGTAAAATGTTAGAGCCTACAAGTCCACTCAGTCCTACTGCTTGTTCAGCCAATCGCTAAGACAAACAAATTTGTTTACATTTACGGGAGATAATGCTGCCCACTTCTTAATTACAGTGTCAACTGAAAAAAGAAAAGGTTGTGGCACCTTAGAGACTAACCAATTTATTTGAGCATAATCTTTCGTGAGCTACAGCTCACTTCATCGGATACATAGTGAGAACAGGTGTTTGCATGGCACTGTTGTAGCTGACATTGCAAGATATTTACGTGCCATATGCGTTAAAAATTTATATGCCTCTTCATGCTTCGGCCATCGTTCTAGAGGACATGCTTCCATGCTGATGCTGCTTGTTTAAAAAAAAAAAAAAGAAAAAGCATTAATTAAATTTGTGACTGAACTCCTTGGGGGAGAATTGTATGTCTCCTGCTCTGTTTTACCCACATTCTGCCATATATTTCATGTTATAGCAGTCTTAGATGATGACCCAGCACACATTTATTTTAAGAACACTTTCACTACAAATTTGACAAAACGCAAAGAAGATACCAAAGTGAAATTTCTAAAGATAGCTACAGCACTCGACCCAAGATTTAAGAATCTGAAGTGCCTTCCAAAATGTGAGAGGGATGAGGTATAGAGCATGCTTTCAGAAGTCTTAAAAGAGCAACACTCTGATGCGGAAACTACAGAACCCAAACCACCAAAAAAGAAAATCAACCTTCTGCAGGTAGCATCTGACTCAGATGATGAAAATGAACATGCATCGGTCCGCACTGCTTTGTATGGTTTTCGAGCAGAACCCGTCATCAGCATGTCCTCTGGAATGGTGGCTGAAGCATGAAGGGACATATGACTCTTTAGCACATCTGGCATGTAAATACCTTGCGATGCTGACTACAACAGTGCTATGCAAATGCCTGTTCTCACTTTCAGGTGACATTGTAAACAAGAGGCAGGAAGCATTATCTTCCGCAAAGGTAAACAAACTTCTTTCTCTTAGCGATAGGCTGAACAAGCAGCAGGACTGAGTGGACTTGTAGGGTCTAAAGTTTTACATTGTTTTATTTTTGAAGGCAGGTTTTTTTATACATAATTCTACATTTGTAAGTTCAACTTTCATGATCAAGAGATTGCACTACAGTACTTGTATTAGGTGAACTGAAAATACTATTTTTGTTTTTTACAGTGCAAATATTTGTAATCAAAATAAATATAAAGTGAGCACGGTATACTTTGCATTCTGTGTTGTAATTCAAATGATTATATTTGAAAATGTAGAAAACCTCCATAAATATTTTTAAAAAATGGTATGCTATTTAAAAGTACAGTTAATCATGATTAGTTTTTTTAATTGCTTGACAGCCCTAGATGTAGTACGATATATTTATAAAGTCTTACTAATATTTAATATGTGGTAGAAGCATTGTAACTAACATTGTTTTTATATTTAAGTTTATTCTTGCTCATAAATTATACTTATTGACTAAGAGTTATAGCCGACTAATTGACTGTACTTGCAGTTCAATATTAAAAATATTCAAGAAACCAAATAACCAAGCTAAGCCAGATTTATCGTTTAAAGACAAAGCAATGCAGTACAGGAAGGAAAGAGAGTACATTGGTTTTTCCCAGGAAGCTCAGTCTTGCAGCGTGTTCAGTTCACCTTCCACAGAAGATGTGCTTCCCAAATGCCACTTAAGCTAGCCATCTTTTTATAGGATAGCTGTTTATAAGCTGCGCAGCACTCACTGTTCATGTCACTTAAAGTTTAACTAACCATCTTGTGCCAGCTTTGTCATTGGTGCATTCCTGTACTTTCCCGTCTTTTGTTTTGTTTATTACCTTCCAAACATTGAGGGGTATGAAAATACTCCTTAATGCAAAGCATTCATACACCTTACAAGGAAATAATGTACCGCATTATACCTTTGTTTCATAAAACTCATTCACCTAGTTTTTGGCAGTTTTTGTATTTGCCTGAGCCATGTGCTGAGAGAGATTTGTCCCAGCGCATTGTGGGATACATGTCTTGGCATAAGTGAGCAAGAATAAGCATAGTACAGTTTAGCATGATTCCCCTCCCCATGCGCACACACACAAATGTTAATATTGTGCATGTAATACCTATTGGTGTGTATGTATATTAGCTCTGACCAACATAGAAAATATTAGATTATGGGCTGGCAAAGATTCTTTCAATTTTGTAGCTACCACAGTTTTAACGTAGAGTGCATTAAATGCAAAACCTTTGGGCTTTAATGATTAGTGTCAACATATTAATTCAAAAGTAGTTAAACATCATTGTAATCATGATTTCATAATCTACTCTTAAAGTTAGTATTAGATGCAATGTCTTTCTTGCCAATGCATCTGCAAAAAATTGCCTTGTACATTGTCTGTCTGTTTCTAATGAACACCAAGAATAAAGCAAAGTTAAGGGGTCTAATGCAATAATAAGCGAAAAAGGGAAAACGTAGGTGGATATCAGCTTGACAGTGAAATGTAGTGGTTTTGTATTTTTATATTCTTGTAAAGTAGATTGCGTCATATGTTTTGAACGAGACCAGACAAAATGGTAGCAAATGGAGATGGCAGTGAATAATTCTGTACTGACAAGGAGATGGATTGGTTGACCTTATTCTCTTCCATTTTTAACTTCTGTGGTTTTATGATTCTGTTTACAGGGCTGTTCAGTATTTGCCAAAGTTTTCTGCTGGATTGGAATTGCTCAGCAGGTATGTCCTTCCATTTTCATACTAATATTTCTTTTCCCCATGGTTTGTTTCCCTAATCAAAATATTATAGGGGGAACAAGTAGTAAATAAGATCATAAGAAAATGAAAACTCTGTATTGATTGCAGGTTTTGAATGGTGTGCAGTAAAGAAGTCAGGGGCTATTAATTTAATGATGAGGATAGATACATTGAACAGCTGCCTCAAACCCAGAGCACTGTTCATCCTGTGCACTGAGTGAGGCAGGAATACTGTGGGGTGGGGGAATATAGTATGTGATCATGTAATTAGGTTACATAATGTTATAAAATAATCTTCTAAAATTAGGCTGCCCAGACAACCTTAATTTTAGCATTTCCTAATTATTGAGAGTTTGATTTTGCAACCTTTATTTCTACTACATTCCGAATCCTGCAGTTGTTCTAATGTATATCTTTGCATATATTATATAGTTATCCATAGAATATTAGAGTGTGATAATTATACAACTATCCAGTTTCTCATGCCGCTGAAGCCCAACTGGTCTCTGTGCTGGGGCAGGCTATACTTGATTAATACAAAAAGCCACCCAGCTTGCATTTAAGTAGATTAGGGTCATCTGGCTTCATAGTATAATAAACTCACCTCCCACCTGTGGTGGTACTCGCTAATTTTGAAGAGATTTTTAAACTTAAATGTTAAAGAAAATATTACTCTTTTATTTGCTTATTGGATTGGAGGAAAGAATGGATCGATGTTGATTTTTTTAATTTGATCAAGTGCAATAAGAACACTGTTCTGTTGTCCCCAAACCCTCTTGCTTCCAGAAAAACAATCAACATTACATCGAGTTATTGTGCTATCTAGTTTGTTTTCTCTGATGTACTCACATTCATTTTCTAAAATATCATGTGGTCTGCTCTTTTGACACACCACAATATTGGAGCATAAATCTTGCAAAATGACTTCACTTGGATGTTTCTTGATGCGTTCTTAGTTGATTCCGTTGAAACGTCATTCAGATCTATGCAGTGTTGTAGCTGTGTTGGTCCCAAGATATTAGAGAGGCAAGGTGGGTGAGGTAATATCTTTCATTGGACTAGCTTCTGTTGGTGACAAATACAAGCTTTCAGGTCTACACAGAGTTCTTCTTCAGGTTATTTTTGCTGACCTGAAGAAGAGCTTTGTAAGCTTGTCTTTGTCACCAACAGAAGCTGGTCCAATGAAGGATATTACCTCATCCACTTTGTCTCATTAAGATCTATGGCATTTGCAGCTGCAGTCAGATGTTCTCTTGATTCGTAAAACAGCCTGCCGGAGCTGATTATGCTTTTTTGTTATGTAAATTTGAAGTTGCTTTAGACTCTCCTACAAGGACTGACTGCTTGACTGTTAAACTTTCCTTCCCTTTTCTGGACTTAAGGCGTACAAGAATATTGAACTTCAACATATATTTATTTAGAATTTTTTATAGAATTTGTACCTGCGACTCTCAGTTATCTGGGTTGTCTGCTGCATCCAATTCAGGACCAGCTTCTCTCTAAGACCACAGTAGCTCCAGGCATTGCGAGGAGATAATCTGATACTAACTCTTCTTTGGTTTCCCATAATCTTTGTTTAGCAACATAAGCTTCATAAGAGAACACATGTGGAGTCTCTACCTTTTTGTGTGTCTGTAGAGGGGTTTTTCCTTGCAAAACAAACTATCATTCACAAGTCTAGGATTTCATATTTTGCTTTTAAAGCTGAAAATTCTGGTATGGGTGTCTCCAAAGTGTGCTTTAACTTCAGATGAAATCTCAGACTCCCATTGTCCACATTATTTCCTAGTCTCTGGTCTTCCTGTTAGGCTTCTTTTTTCTATAGTTGCTTTAGGCAGGTTTTGCTTTGAATCTTTTTTGGCTTGTATTGAGTACTCATTCCTTTGACTTGGATCTCTCTGGAGCTCATATTTTCCCTTACTGACTGTTGAGATGACCCATGATTATAAATACTTTGTTGTATAACTATTGTGTTGGCACTGATTTAGCACTGGTTTTCTTCTTGAGATGATAATGAAAGAATCTTATAAAAATGATTTGGAATGTTACATATAAAAAATTGAATTATATGAATGGATATTTCTTCTGTGAGGTAGGCAATATAAAAAAGAAGTCCTTATATACATAACTGTTTTTCTTGGAGATCAAACTGATTTAGTCCAAAGAAATATGTGCAGAAGAAGCATATGAAATACCTAAACTATTTTTGCGTGTATCAGTATGTGTTTATACCAGGTTTAATAAGTTGAGTTCTGGAGCAGGTAGTTAAGCAGATGGTACTATTACCTAATGCATTGTCCTATGGCAATAGAAGGTAAGCTGCACAAGGAATACATGATTCGGCCCCTGGCTATATGAATTAGTGGTTTGTTCCGTCCCGCCCTGCTCCAGCTGTGCTAATTAAGTCACTTGTGATTCTACTTCCAAAATTGAAAATCTGTTTCTGTCAATTGCAAAACATGTTCCTGTGGAAATCCGTTAGGTAACATCTAATTCCATTTCAGTCATATATGTCTAAAAGTTTGTGGTAAGTTGGGTCAAATATAAGAGTGTTGGTAAACTGAATAATTCACATGTTGGTAATAGAAGTTGGGCTTGTTTTTGTCTTAATTGGCTTGTGAGTTGCTTGTTGGATAGTTTTTTGGCTTGTTGCTTCTTTTTTTTTGATTGGCTCCTGGCAAAATGTGGGAGAGCATCAGGGGTGCACAGCGGGCCCACCACAGTCCCAGATTGCAAACTGGGGGATCTAGTTACATAGAGTGGTGGGGTTTTTAGGGATTGGCTTGTTTTGGCCTTGTTTTGAAATGGGGTTAACTTGATTTTTGGCTTATTGTGAAAGTCAGGTTCTCATTTACCACATGAAAGTTGGCAGCTGAGGTCCTGACCTGAAAGTTTGGTCAGTAATCTGCTGGATCTTGTGGTGAGAGAGTTTGCTTTGCAGATAAGGCCTTGTCTACACTACACAGTTCTGTTGACAAAAGTCAGCTTTTGTCAGTGAAACAGTGGAGGTGTACACACTGCAATTTTCCTCCCCCCGCCTATTTAATTTTCCTGCTACACAGACATAATAAAACCACCTTGATGAGTGGCATAGAGCTTTTAATGATGAAGTTAGTGCGATAGTGTTAGTGTAGATACTGTGCTTGCTTATGTCTCCATAAGTGGCCTCCAGGAGGTGTCCCGTAATGCCCATCATCACCGCTCTGGTCAGCAGTTTCAGCTCCGCTGCCCTGCAGTCATGTAAATGGGCTTGCACTCTCCCCTTTACAGCCCTGGGTATTTCTGAAAATTCACTTACTGTTTGTTCAGCGTGGAGAGCTCACATAGCATCTTCCTAGCTGATCATGGCGGCTTTCTGCAGGAAACAAACTCCCACCTGGAGTACATAGGAGTAGTTGGATCTGCTGGGTCTGTGGGGTGAAGAGGCTGTGCAGTCGCAGTGCTTCTCCAGCTGCAAGAACTTTGATATGTACAAGCAGATTGCTAATGGCAGGGGCAGAAGGGACACGAAAAGGACACGGCGATAGTGTGTTAAGATCAAGGAGCTAAGGCAGGTGTGTTAGAAGGCAAGGGAGGCCAAATGTTGCTCTGGTGCGGTGTGGAAGACATGCCACTTTTACAAGGAGCTGCACGCCATCCTCGGTGGTGACCACTACTCCATCACCAAGAACCTTATGGATGCTTTCGGGGGACTGGAGGCTGTGGCCAGCGAAGTCAACTCTGAGGATGAAGTGATGGAAAAGGAAATGGAGGAGGGTGTTGGACAGGGTCATCCGGTGGCATGGCGAGCCAGGGCCTCTTTTTGACTCCGGAGGGGTCTGTCCAATCCCAGCACTCTGGCTGTAGCATGCCTGAAGCAGGAGAGGGGATTTCCGGTAAGTATTCATTTTGATTTTATACTGCATGGTGACATGAGGTGGAGCTCTCCTTTATTTTGTTATATGGTAGAAGCGGGATAATGGATAGAAAATAACCCTAGGATGGTTTGCATCTGCTTCTAAGTCCCCTGTACAGCTACACAGTTTAATGCACACCGGGATGTCCCAGGAATCCTCCATAGAGAACTCTGTGAAACTTTCCTGGAGGTACTCAGCAATCCTCTGCTGAAGGTTCCTTGACAGAGCTGTTGTGTTTCTTTTCCCATTGTAAGAAAGTTTGCTGTGCCAGTCAGCAATTATTTCTGCAGGAACCAAAGCAGCACAGCCTGGTCTGAAGCTGCACGCATACAGGAGATGTACCTTTGCATCGTCTGATACCTCAGTTGTGAGATATCCGCTTCAATCACCCCTGCCTGTGGAAAATGGTGTATTCAGAATAGTGTCCCTACGTGCTTGTAGAGATCCCCTTCTGACCCAGACCCTTGGTCCAATCTTGCCTCTTCCCCCACAGGCTGAACTCAGTACGTTAAGGGCTCTCGCCGTGCTGTGTGCTTGCCAAGGGAAAGTGAGAAAGAGAAGTGTCAGGGTTCACCATCCCACACTCTGAACTCTGGGGTACAGATGTGGGGACCCACATGAAAGACCCCGTAAGCTTATATTTTACCAGCTTAGGTTAAAACTTCTCTAAGGCACTAATTCCTTAGGCTGATATTGCTGCCACTACCAAGTGATTTACACAAAATATTCAGGGAAGGGTGACTTGGAATCCCTGTCCCCCCAAACTCCTTCACCCCCTTTCCTGGGGAGGCTTGAGAATAAACTACCAACCAATTGCCTTAGCAATGTGAGCTCAGACGAGACCCTTTGTCTTCAGGACACTGAAATCAATCAGGTTTTTAAAGGAAGAATTTTATTTATAAAGAAAAAAGTGAAAGAATCACACCTGCAGAATCAGGATGGAAGGCAACTTTACAGGGTAATAAGATTTAAAACGGAGGATTCCCCTCTGAGCTCAGCTTCACAGTTACAAAAACAGGAATGAAACTACCCCTGTAGCATAGGAAAATTCACAAGCCAAAACAAAAGATAACCGAACGCATTTCC